AATATGTCTGGGTTTTTAAAGAAAATGCTTTGTCACAGAATAATAGTCTGTTAAAGGTGCCAAGTATGAAATAATTTAAGGACAAAAAAACAAACCTGCATAGAAATCGGAATAATAGCTCTTTTGATTATCGGAGACGCATTTCAATGGGCTTGATTACGGACAATGCATGACGTAAATTTCACCAGGAAATTCCGCAGTGTGCTCTCGCAATCGCGTACTTAGTCATTTTTACAAGGTTCGCCATTTTTGATGTCATGTGATAATTATGTAAACAATGACTGTCCAGTTTGTGCGAACTTGTACCTCTATACTTAGTCTTTTGATATATATAACCTAAATTACTGTTCTGAACGAGACAACAGACAGAGAATGTTTTATTTAAAAACGTCACAAAACCCTTCTCGCTACCTTAAATATCTGTCTTTATGATAAGTTGCCACCCGTGAAATAACTTTTTACTATAATAATAGAAAGTGTTCATGATTTTGGTTCAGCTCCGGTCCAGTACTGGCCAAATGTAGAGGAATTTGCGTGTCGCATGGCAACAGATTTTGCTCCGCGCAGAATTCATCTGGATGTGACGGCGTGCATTTATAAAACACGAGTAAATAAAACAATCTGGGAAGCAAAAATTCTTAGGAAGTAACATGCAAATCAAAGTTCAAAAAAGCTATGTTTTGCTGAACTACGCAGATATGGCCGAAATGTCATGATTTAGAGGGAAATAGATTACTGATTCGTGTAATCTGACTTGAACGAGAGGGCGCATGGCTTTATGAATATTATTACAAACTGTAGAAATAAGAATACATCGATTTGACAGCGAACTTCACGTCATGTTGCACGCTATGCAATATGACCTAAATGTGGCCAAACAATGATGATAATGGGTGACCCATTAGTACCACATCCCACATTGGGGTACGAGGCTTAATGACTTTTTACAAAAACCTGATGACTATCAAAGTCACTATCAAAAGCCAAATACAGCTGCAGAATACAGTATGACAGCCAACCATTCTTGACAACAGAGATGTACATACTAACAGATCATTTCTGAGTATGGAGGTACTAGAATCACTAGCACAATTGAAAAGACCACATTTTTGGTTACAGATAGCATGGACCCGGCCGCTAAAAGCTTAACCACACTCTAGTAGTGGAAAGTGAACATAAACTGAGTATATATCAGAGAGTGACATTTCAAGAAGCTATGCTATGCGTTCAATAAAAAAAGAATTTGTTTTAAAAGATGTTTTTGTTTCATTGAGAATATGTTGGCGATTATTACATCCATCTTATTAGAAAAATCGTTCAAATCAGTATCTCAACATTGTTTAAAATAATGCTTGTTCAATTTTTTCACCAAATACTCCAAGTTTCAATTGACAGAGGCAATTACAGTAAATCTGCAACAATAGATTTTCCTGTTTACAATATCAGGTTTTCTAATGTGCGCTTGAATTTGCAACTATAAGTGAAGTGCGCCGTGATTTGTGTTGGAGTATTAATTATTGACAGGCAAAACTAAATTATGATCATTGGTAATCCGTCTTTAAAATACAACCGTTTATTTAAAAATTGTGCTTCGTTATTATATTTTTCGTTCGAGTTGTTATATTTCAATGTTTTGTGAAGTCATGGAGTGTCACTGTTATTGAGTTGGTACGGTTTGCTAGAAGGTGGGCACGTGCGTTCGATCATTCTGCTACGCACCATTACTGGCCACGTGATATGCAAATTGCAGCGTATGAATATTAATAAACTTGGGGAATCATTGGACATTGCTGAGTCTCACACATTTGTGTTTGTATGTTCGTATGTAAAATCCAACTTAAAGATTCACTTTTATTTAATAATTGTACAGGTAATAAATAAAGTCTTATAAATATTTGATAATTGTACATATATTGTGGCATATCAAGCTAATTTATCACGACTTGCGTCAGTGTATCCTTCGATATACCGGTGGGCATCACACTTCGCCAATTGCCATTCGTAAAGTCTGACTGGTGACATTGTTTCGTTGTCACGCCAGTTTCTTCGCTCATTGTAAATGCCGTGTTGTGCACACTGCCCGCACTCGACTGAATTTTATTGTCTTTCTTGCAATGACAGACTGCAATTGCTATTGCTATGGTAACAACTATGGCGACGATCAAAGCGGCGATAACGCACACCAAGAAAACATACTCACTCGTATGTTTGGTCACAAAATTGTCTGTTGAATTTAGTGCCGCTGATGGCAGGAGCGATGTCCCTCCCTGACCTTCATGCTCATATCCCGGAATTTTTGACTTGGAATTGTCAATTTCTGTATTCCTGGTAGTCGTCGGACCATTGCTTAACTGAGTGAATGACGTCACTTCCGAGTCGTTTATATTCATGTCGACTATCGACGATTCCGTAATGTAGGGATGTGGCGCGTCGCTGGCGATGGTCCCATCCGAGGTCGGTATAACATCAAACGTCACGAATTTGGTTGTCGACGTGGCAACAGTTGATTGATCAGACGCATTTCGTAGAAGACTATAATCGTCGATCGCCATGTCACTGAGAAAACTGGCCCCAATTACGCCTTCAAAAATCACCTAGGAAATAAAAACAAAACAAAAAATGCAATAAAATAAACTGAAATTCTGTCAAACCATATCGATATTTACCAAAGGAATTGTATGTCGTTGACGATAACGACTCTGTAAGATGGCGCTGTTATCTATGCATTGTATGTCGTTGACGATAACGACTCTGTAAGATGGCGCTGTTATCTACACCTGTAAAAACGACTGTAACTGTTCCATATGGTTTTCATATGTGTTTGTTTTTCAAACCAAAAGCCCGGGAGATCACTTGTATTATTTACATACGGGTATGCGGGGGCAACGAACTTTTGTTGACAATTACCCGTCCGGGAGACCACATCCCCCAAAACCCACCCCTTTTAAACAAATTTCAAGAAAAATCCACCCTTTGAAACAAATTTACACTAGTACATAACCACGGTAAAATGAGTCTATCTTTGACACATATCACATATTATATCAACATAGCAAAAATACAATCAATTTGATTCCTGAAATTGTTGAAAAGATATCAGACATTAGAATATAAAAACGGACACTTGCCTGTTATAAACATAATCTATGGATCTCTTGGCTTTTCCATTTACTTTGTGGGTTTCCTATAGTAAACATCCCCACCCACCATCCCCTAATCGAACCAAGAGACCCGCTCAAGAGACGCAGATACAATCTCTTTTCATTGCAATCCTCGCTAGCAAACACAGCTTACCTGGAAAGGAGACGTGGCATTAAATACCAATTCTGTGTGAAACCAGTGATTGCCGTACGTACGCTGTTCTCGACCACTTTTACTCCATATACGCTGTAAACGTGTTTCGTTAACGTTGCTTAAGTACACGTTGAGGGTCCCTGTGAAATACACATATCACGTGGTCAGTGACGTCATTGAAACATAAAACACAACAAACATGAACTGCAGTCGCTGGATGAACTATAAATGTGTGTGTGCAGTGCTTACCCATCGTGGTCCCATGCATGTGATGATAGAATGTTAAAATAAAGACGTCGTCGATGTTTTCGGGTTGGTAAATAGGACTAATCAATCTGGCTGCGTTACCTTCAATGCGTGGTTTTGACGATTCGGTGAAAATATAGCTTCCTGTTATAAAACGGAACAAAATACATAAATCGTTTTCACATTTTCAACAGATCGAACTTTTTTACCATGTGGTGGCGCCCTTCAAAATGTGTCACTACGCTACGAATTAAGGCAGTTCGCTACCATTAAAACAATTGAGAAAAATTATCACAGTCAATTATTCAAAAAATGTTATGTGATGATTTTTTGCGGAGAAGGAAGTGTTTTCAAGAAAACATATGCAAAAAAAATAATCTATGTTTCATAGGATTCGATGCAAATTAATTATTCTATCAATAATTAATATTTAAAATTCTCTTATTTTCGTGAGAACCATATGTAGTTCTTTTTTGGCTACAAATTATATTTTGTAGGGGTCACTGAACACCGATTTGTAGACACATTTGTTCGGTGACCATATATTATTTATCGCGCGAATTATAAATATTACAGTGAATGTTAGCAAAGAGAAGCTGAATTGTCCGTGTTACGTACGTCGAGTTAAGAAACCGGCAGCCTAGGAAGTTAACTTTTTGGCATGGAGCAAAATGCTCCTAAACCTAAAATTTTAGGAGCAAAATTGTTTCATGCGTAGAACAAATAAAATGTGTTATGCTAATCTTTGCGAATACAACTACAATAATGATATACTGTAATGAGAGATACTGTTCTGTTACAAACATTCTTGATTTGTGTCCTGGTCGAACACTGCATGTACGATGGCCTTCCTGGCTGATAAGTATTAGATCACCCACATCTTCCGTTTTGTGGCTGAATGCGAGGATGTAGGATCTGATGTCCCGGAGTTTGTTGTTGATATTTTGTTATGCTCAACCGGCCGAATGAAATTAGTAATCTGCTTATTAGCCATGTCTTGTTCGAGCCGAAAATGCGACAGTGTGACTTTGATTATTGATGTTTACAACACGACTTAATTGACACTGAAAAACGCCGTCACGTTAGCCATCGAAAATTATTTAATTGACAATCAAAAAGCTGCCGACAGTGTAAAACCGGCATTCATTTAAAAACAACTGTATGCCCGTTCGACTAGAACAAAACAACTGCCAATAACATATTTACAATGTTACTATTCCTTTATTATGACTTTCCCAGTACATCGTAAATTATTCAAAGCCTAAATATCGTGCACGGTATCTCGTCTAGTCTGACTCGTGCAAGGCACGTTTCAGCTGCGTGTAGGGCTTCAATTTTCACTCGCAAAATACGACAGTTTCTGAAATCTACAAGCTAAATGCGGATACTTACAAGTTTGTTCTCGCATAGACGTATATTTTAGGCGCATTTGCGAGTAGGTACTCGCAACTTCAACCGAGGCTGAAACCATCGAGTTACATAAGTGACCACGCCCATATTTTGCAAAAGTGGACGTGGTTTTTTTAAAATATGGGTGTGATCGTTTTGTACGGTAACTCGATGTTTTCTTTAGTCGATGTTCATAACTCGAACAACTCGGCATTTGGGTAGCAAACTACCTTAATGTATCGTTCACGACTAACGAAAAGAACATGAATTGACAGCATCGAAGGATTCTGGAACATCGTGTTATAGTTTACATAATCACGGTACTTACCAGCTCGCGTACTACCGTATGTATGGTCGTCTGTCGGCCCCGTCGCCCCAGATGGTGTTTCACCTGTGATCAACGTCCAATCAAAATCGTCCGTATCATCCTGCGTGAACCCACAGAGATCGTACTCAAAATCACACTCTACGACAGGCAGTGGTGCAAGAGCTGAAAGGAAAAATAATTTAAATTTATATTGATGATCTAGTTGTTTTCTATATTTTGTGTCGTTTGGGACAGATTTTTGCAACATGAATCACTAAAATCATCGGACTACATGACAGGATTGTATGAGCGTCTTTCTAATGTTTATACCAAAATGATATTTAATGCATTGTCCCGTCATGAGAACTTGCAAATAAAAGTTCCTCCAATATCCGTCAGTAGAAGAACCTCTGCCAGTGAATTGGACTCCCGAAATTGAGTCTGTGACACACTCATCCGATTTAACCCCCTTTTTTTGTTTATTCTTATGTATTCGAACCTACCGTTCACTGGCGCGAGCGATGATTGAAATGTTTATTTCATAACGCAAAATTGTGATAGAGGATGAAATTGGATAGCCAGGTGGTGAATATGGAAACTACTAACATAGTATGCATAAGAAGAGTATGGCCTTCAGTAGCTGATATCTACACCAATGACGTCAGTTGTGTCGTAATGACGTCATCAGTTATTGATACGTGTGTGACAATACTTACTGGTAAGAACCATCTCTTGTATTTCAACATCGTCGACGCCAATCTCCATATATCGCGAATTCCCTTTCACTGCTTCTAATACGATCTACAGGTAATAAATTAGAATATAAATATTTAATAAGAGGAGTGTATTTTCCACGCAGTCAGTTAGTGGTATTCGAGATTCTGCTATTGAATAAATTCTATTCCACTATTGACCACATAAAACGGGGACATGCAACTCCTGTTCGTGACGTAACGTCCTGTTGGCAACATGGGATACAGTCTCCAATAAAGTTAATCCCATTAATGCATATAACTGGTGGATTTATCATCTGAAAAAAGTTTATATATTTGTTTTCTTTTTACGTTTCTTATATGCTGTGCCAAAATTCACAGTATATATAGCGGGTAGACTAAACTATAATAGTTCCAAGTACGATGATAAATCCAATTGTTATAACAATACAAAGTTTGAAAGGTCATCGTTTATATTTAAAACAGTTTTACTCTTATCAATAGAATAGACTGAGCCATTCAGTTTTAATAAAATGTAATTATTCTGATTATATTCTAACGACAAAGTTTGGTTATCAATCATATAGCAGTGTTCAATGGTTTATGACCATAAAATACAACCATGAAGGTACGTTCTTTATCCAAATAATTAAGAAAAACAAAAATAACTCCATCATGTAATTGTTCCACCCAATGCCCGCCCGCCTACAATTTGAGATATGGCATATTATCTTCACCCAAAGTAACCAATGGTAAAAGCGTTTTAATAATATGACAAAAAGACCATCATTTACTAAAATACAACCCTCGTCTTACATTTCCTGAGTACAATCTAGTATAAAATGAATAAATTCTGTTTTTATATTTTTAAATTTCCAATGATTAGGTTTTATTGTATAATCAGGTAAGCTTGCACGGTAGTGACGAGGAATGATGCTTTGCCTTACCACTTACGTCACTTCTCTGCATATAGTCCATTTGAAATATACATTGTCATTGTCAATTCTCGATTAAATGTTAGTAATATCATATTGTGTCTATTTGCTTCGAAGCTGTCGTTAAAAACACATACAATTGCAGAACTACAATTGTAGCGAGACAATTACCTTACTTTACGTAATCAAAAGATGCCTAATAGAAATAAAAAAACTGTGAGCAGTGAGCTTATGAATGTTGTCAGAGGAGCACTCACCTCGCAATGTGTGGCGCACGTTGGCACCGTAATGAACGCATTTTCCCATACATCTGTGTCACTTAACTTATCGTGTGTCCATAGCAACGTCTCAACGTCATCGTCGTTGCGTAGCAACACGTTGAGGGCAAACCCATTGGCAGTTGAATGTGTAACGAACATGTGATACCAAAGAGAA